ATATTTGTGCGCAACATTACTAACTTTCACTCCCCGTTAATAATAACTGCTCAAAATAGCCTTAACATATTTTCACATGTCATACAGCTTTCAAAGAGCATCAATCACTTTAATTTAACATCATACCTACTGACGAAATTTGAATTGGGGGTGGTGGCACTACGAGGCAAAAATTTCTATTAACTTGGAAGTATTCCCAATGCACAGCAAACTTTCAAGGTAAACTACATTGTTTATACTAATACATGATGTGAGTCTCTATTTAAACCTCTCAGGCGTGTTAGTATTCTACTTATTTAATGGGGCTCTGTTATTCGCTAAATCCAATTTTTACCCCGCTCACGAATGAAGTTTGTGTGGAATTCCCCTACATGTCGGTTTCTACACAAAAAAGTTGGATCCGTGCTTCGTCTACCCCAGCTTTGCGTTATGGACTTCGGCTTTAAGAAAATACCACTTCTCTCCTTTAAGTCGTACCTTCAAGATTCATCGGAGAAAACTGTTAGTGTAGATCATATACCTACAGAATTTAGAGAACCGTATATTATCAAGGGCTACAGAAATAGCACTGATTTTCTGGGTAGCCTTCATTCCCTATTTTTTTTGCACAATGAATCCTTCAATTGTTGGAGCCATATTTTTGGAATACCAATGGTGCTTTTCTATTTCTTTGAGGAGTACTTTACTTCATCAAATCCACTAATGTATGTGTATCTCTTTTCCTGTCTCTGTTTTGTTTTGGGAAGTAGTTTCGCCCATACATTTTGCTGCTATGATAAATTTTCTCGTGATGCTTATTTCACGGTAGATTATGTTGGCCTTGCCATCTTCACTTGTGGCTCTGGTATAGCCTACGTTGCCTTTTCATTCCCATTAGAGTTGTTCTCGAAGTCGGGTGCATTAAGCCTTTCCTTTTTAGACACATACCTCATCTTCTTGTGCCTTTGCTCTATGGTTTCTATTTTCCAATCTATGTGGACTCGGACACTGTCTCCAAGTTTATTGCGCAGTGTTCTTCGAGTTAGTGCTTTTGCAGCACCGGGAGTAATCATGTCTTCTCCTATTGTATACAAGATTTACACATGCTACTGCGGCGCCAACGCCTATCCGCCTCGCTACTGTGATTCTGCTGCAATCTGGCCCAAGCAATTTTTAACCTGCATTATATCCATAGTCTTTTACGTCTCACGTTTTCCTGAGTACCTCTATCCGGGCAAATTTGACTACTTCGGGCATAGTCACAATGCCTTTCATATCGGTGCACTGCTTGGTCTTCACTACCAAAAGCTCGCTCTTTCACTTGACCTGAAATTCGTCAAGGCACATCAGATCATCGAGACTTCATTGAAAATTCCTCTTTTTGGTTTTTCACTGCTTTTCTTATCCATTTTCCTATCATGCATGTATTTCCGTCACCTTTTTACCGTCAAACCTTTCAAATCCAAACTTTTGTAATATTTGACGCTCAACTTTTATCCTATGTACGTTCACCGTTTTAAAATCTATTGTGATAATTTATGTGGTATTTTGGCTTGTCGGGCAGCACGAAATGGTGGCATACCTGGGAATAGTGTTATTTCTATCGTTTCCTCATCTGGCTGGTTTCGTTTGATACAAGTATTCATTTTAAACACAGTTTCTAAC